ATGCACATGTTAATTTTATGACCCTACAATTTTATAGCAGAAACAAGGAAGTAATATTAAAATATGAAAACCTTTTCAGTGTAATTGCAATCTATTTCCGCATAATTCTTCCTTCTTCCCTCCTCATTCTAGTTTTTTAATTACATTTCCAAAGGACAAACTCCCTCTAACATATAACACTCTTTTATTCCTTTGTAAATGCTGAGATATTCCCAGAGTATTTTTTTCTCTCTTCTCTCAACCTTGCCTGCATATGCTACACCTGAAAGATTCAATTCCAGTGATAAGTCCTCTTAATCTTTAAGGTCTCCAAAGGAGTTGACACAGGAGAAAAATGAACTAGTACTAAAGGGCCATTAAATTGAGCAATTAATTCAGAAAGGTGGATTTCTTGATGTATGACATTATCATCATAGCTTTCTGCTGCTGTGAAACGTATATCCTTAAATGCAGAAAAAAATAAATCACACTAATTTATAGATGCTCAAATTTTTTGAAAATGTCAACCCTTTAGCTCAGTGCTATTCAAAGGAAAAGCAATATAAGCCTAATATGTAATTTCAAACTTTCTTATAGCCATCTCAAGGACAGTAAATACAAAACATATGAAATTAATTCTAATAATATGATTTATTTAGTCATCTGAAATATTGCCAATTCAAAATGAAATCAATGTAATATGCTTTATTTTCAGCAGCATCAGTCTCTGAATATTGTTGTGTATTTTACACTTCTATGCATGTCCATTCAAATCAACCACCTTCCAACTGCCCAACAACCTCATGTGATGATAGTTACTGTGTTGGACTGCACAACCCTGAACTTCAAATGACTAATGCTTTAAAAAATCATTAATTCTCCTTAGCGTCCAAGCTTATTAAGATCTACATTCTTATCTTACTTTTCAGTCAAGATAAATCTCATTTTCTGATGTGAAAATTAATGAAGCTAATATTTTTCTCTATTGGTGAAAAGATCATGTTTCATACAATCTCACTTCATTCATTGACTAGGTTATTAGGACTTTGGCAGTAAAAGCTTTCTTAATGAAGCATTGTGAAAACATAAGTATCAATTAACTCATTTATAACATTCTTCTCTTTTCTTTCTTTTTGTACTGGGAATTAAACTTGGAGCACTCCTACACTGAGCTACATTTCGAAGTCCATTTTTATTTTTTTTTTAAATTTTATTTTTTTTTAATATTTATTTTTTAGTTATTGGCGGATACAACACCTTTGTTTTGTATGTGGTGCTGAGGATCGAACCCCGGCTGCATGCATGCCAGGCGATATTCCCAGCCTCCCATTTTTATTTTTTGAGACAGGGTCTCACTAAGTTGCTGGTGCAGGCCTGGTACTTGGGATCCCCTGCTTCAGTGTCCTCAGTCTGTAGAATTACAAGTGTAGGTTCTTATCTTTTGAAGATAACTTATCTGCAAATTTAATTATACAGAGCTTTACATATTTTATCTTAAAAATATGTTTATGAGCTGGGCACAGTGGCACATGCCTGTAATCCCAGCAACTCCAGAGGCTAAGATAAGGAGAATTACAAGTTCAAGGCCAGCCTCAGCAATTTAGTGAACCCTAAACAGCTGAGTGAGACTGTGTCTCAAATGGGGATATAGCACTTATGGGTTCAATTCCTAGTACAATATAAAATAATGTGTGTGTGTGTGTGTGTGTGTGTGTGTGTGTGTGTGTGTGTGTAAAAGATGCCTAAAAATCCCTTAGCTAAATTAATTTCTCTATTTCATCTTTTTATCTGCATGTATAAAATGGTCAAAATAATATGCACAAGGACTATTTTATTAGAGCGATACAGTAAATAAAGTTTTACCATAGGTCATACTTTTACTTTTTGAAGCACTGGAGGTATAATTAATATTAATGAATACATTTTTCAATGTATTTGTATATTTGAGTATGACTCTCTTCCTAGTAGAGATAGATATTAGGGCATACAAAAAATGGGAGAATGTAGGAAAGATCAAGAAATCTTTTGATTTCAACATGAATTTTCCTAGGAGTAACTGCCTCAGGATTTGTGGTAGGATTAATGTGTATAATAGCAAATTTTCCATGGGTTTGCAATTATGTAAAAATCATATAGTCATAATAATTAACATTACTTTGAACAAACTGAGCTAAAATTTGATTATTTCAATAAATTTATAATTAATGGCATTGATAATACACTTTAATGTGATAACGTTAAACAAACTCTGTTCTTTCCCTACATGGCCAGCATATAGCACAACATCGATCAAATAAACATTCAACAAAAACTTGAAAAATGATAAGACTTGATGAAATTATAACTGAAGAGTAATGCAGTTAATGTTTATTGTTGTACTTAACAACATGCCTGGTTCTAATTTGATAGTTGCTTCTGTGATTTTAAAGGTAAAATTGAAAGGACTAAGAAAAAAAAAACAGAATTAAATAGCATAATAAGAACATAAGTGTTTGAAGGAAATGACTAAACATGCCTCAACTTAATAAAGTGAGCCATAATATTTGAGAAAATTATTTAAACAAAAAATTTCAATACCAGTGGGATATGTGGGAAAAAAAACACATGAGGCATAGACACCATATTAAAAATCATTTACAACTTTAGTGAAGGCAGGGGGAGGGGCCATAGGAGTTTTCAGGTTTTGTCCTCCACTAGGAACGAACATGGGGTTAAGGCGGCCTCCAGTGAGGCTGTCTCTGAACCCTTCTTTAGGTTTCTTTGAAACTCAGACAGGAGCGAGTGAGGTGAGGCCAACTGTCAATAATAAGAATAATTCAAACACCAAGGTTTAGAAAACTCTACTATTTACTCAAGATAAAAAATTAAAAAAAAACTCTTACTAAAAAAGAGAATTTATATTCCTTTACTTGAGGACAAATATATCTCAATCTAATGATAAATTACATTTGAATTTTGAAGTATTGAGATTTCAGTTTTTATTCATGAACATATACTATTTAATAAGCATAGTCATTTCACTAAAGATGATTTCTACTAAAAATGGCAATGTTAAACATCTTTATTTTCCTGTCTCCTTACTGCTTATCTAACAGGGTCTGTTAAATAAAATAAAACTTGACCTCAAATTTTACATATCTGAACTGAGCTATTTCTACCCCATATTTCCCCATCAGTTTGCTGTGCCACCATCTGCCTCGTAGTCCAGTTCGGAGAACATGGTGTCATCTAAGTCCCCTTCTACTCTCAGCAACCCCTCCTGTGCCATCCATCAATTACACCCACCTCCTTTTCACCTGTACACCCACCCAGGATGTATGTAACGCTTCCTTACAGAACACCCCTCACCATACCCTTCTCGTGCTCTGAGCTTTTAGTTTGCTCTTACTCTCTTCACTGATATCTCACAGCCTTTTCATTTCTATCACTGCTCTCAAACTGCTGACGGTCCAGCCATGCCGAAAAAGCTGCAATGTTTTAATTATGTCATCATGTTGTCTCATCTCTCTGTTTTACCCACACTGTCTTGTTTTTTTCTTAAGATGATTTTCCCTCTCTCATCTACCTTCCTAGATTCTACTCAGAGTTCAAAATTCCATTTTCAGGGAAATGCTACCCTTTCTTAACGTCCTTGGAGTACAGAAGCTGCCTCTCCTCTGTGCTGCTTCAGCAAACCTGAAGAACGCCACGCAAGGGCACTTTCCCCATCTTAATGTGAATGATGATCCAGTGCATTAGACTAGACCTCCTTGAAAGCAGATGATCTTTCTTCCTATAATTCTAACCCTGGCACTATGATAGGAAATTGAAAGGTACTCAATAAATATTGGCAGAGAGAAGAAATGAATGGATCTCAAACACTGTGTAGACTATTCATTCAGAGAACAACGAAGTCGGATTTTCAGAAAAGACTATAGGTAAAGGTTGATTTATTCAGTGATTTGGCAAATATGACAGGATGGATGAGCTGACTGTAACAGCCCCAGGCTAATCATCAATTATAGTAATAATGATGATCATGAGCCCCAAACCCACCTGATAGCCATCACTTGCAGGTGGTGTGCTATGTGCTGTGTTCTCTGGACCATCCTCTCCACAGCCCTCTCACCAGTAAGCTGTGGTGACCCCCACTTGTGTAAGTGAGGAAACTAAAGTATAGGGAAGACAGGTCCCCATTTTTCAACCTTTGTAATAATACTTCCTCATGAGGGATGCAAAAATCAAGTACCACAGCATGAAATAGAGAACATGGTCATTTGAAGATACTTGTCCACAGAGTGAGCTGCCTGCTATACCTTGGGGCAGGCAGCATGCCAGGGTCTGCCAGTCTACGTGCAGACCTCCAAAGGTGATGCACAGGAATATTTGCTCAGAAGGAATTCCTGCAACAAGACTTGTCTTTCTGTTCATCTTAAGGTTTATCATTTGGACCTTTGTGTTCATTTAGGATCAAGAAATCTAAATATACAGACGAGATAGTCAAAACTAAAATATTTTTAGTAACCATTGATGATCGATACTACAAGTATCCAAATAAATAGTGTAGCAATTGAGATAAGAAAAAAAATGTCAGTCTACATAAGTCAACCCATTTTCACATGCTTATACAAAATAAAATCAAAATATTAGCTTACAAATGATTTTTTTTATAACAGAATTTTGGGGAAAATGATTTAAAGGAAAAAGAAGATTGATAGGGTATACAGCTTTTGAATTTTGGATTTAAAAATAAAAGTAGTTCTTGGGGCTGGGGATGTGGCTCAAGCAGTAGCACACTCGCCTGGCATGTGTGTGGCCCGGTTTCGATCCTCAGCACCACATACACACAAAGATGTTGTGTCCACAGAAAACTAAAAAATAAATATTAAAAAAATTCTCTCTTTCTCTCTGTCTCTATCACTCTCTTTAAAAAAAAAAAAAAAAAGTAGTTCAAAGATTTCTACTGCCTGGACATATCGGTAGTTTGTGTCCATCTGGTACATCTGGTTTCTAAACAAGTAAAAACAGCACTATTAAGAAACCTTAAAGACAGTAGATCTCAAGATAATGAGATTCAGATATAACAATTCAATCACAGGAAAAAAAGGCACAGTATTGCTACTTACATTAAGCAGTTGTTCAAAAGCAAAACTAAAGCCTTTCTTATAATCGGTTATTCCTTTTGCTGTGATGTTATTCACTGCATCTTTCAACACTTTCTTATTTCTTACATTTGCTTGAACAAGGTGCTGGAAACAGCTTACATCCTGAGCATTGCTGTTGAACTGCAAAAAATAAAAAAAAAAGAAAATGCATAAATGAACATGAAGATCAAACATACAATTTTCAACAAATTTGTTTTACCCATCTCAACCTCACTGCATTGCTATCTCTTTCAAAAGGAAGAGTGTTTAAGTAACAAAAGGCCAAAGATCAAATGGCAGCTTCCATTTAAGCCTCCAACTTACACTGTTAACCCTGAGCCAGTCACCTTCCTAATCTTGGTTTCCCTGTTTATAAATTTGAGTTATGTGAGGTCCCTTCCGGTCCCCAAATCTGAGGATCATATAGACAAAACAAAAACAATGATATGAATTCCACATTAAAAACTGATATGAAGGCTGGGGCTATGGCTCAGTGGTAGAGCACTCGCCTCGCACGTGCAAGGCCCTGGGTTCGATCCTCAGCACCACATAAAAATAAATAAATAAAAACTGATATGAGATACCTGCCCAGGATGCAGGGGAAGGTAAGGATTTTTAATTGCCTCTTGTCAGAAAAGGTTGGTTAAAAAAAAGAGGACACTGGATGACAGGAGAGGATAGCAGTTTTGAAATGTGAAAGTGGAGTCTATGTTAGCTCAAACCAAAAGGTAATATGAACCAAGATCAACTGGTAGCCTTTTACAAATGCCACTCTCTAGATGATAAAAATAAAGAACACAGGGATTGTGGAGGTAAGTGTAGGGCAAGTCGATTACTGCACATAGTGATTGCTCTGAGTGACAAAGCTCTCAGCAATAAGAGGCTGTGAGAGGACAGAATTTAAACTCTCCCATGATACCTGCTCCAAACTGAAAAGTTACGAATAAGCAACAAAGTAATTTCACAATTCTATAAAGTGGATTCACACAGTTTACTGGGTATTTCCAAAAAGATGAGAACAATAGGAGTACTGCACACTCCAGGATAAGATGATGAAAAACTCCCATTGTTTATTAACTCGAACTTTTGTCAGTTCCTTAGGCTACTGGGGCCCAGACTTCATATGTGTTCAAAACGGGAATAAAAGTCAGACTTGCTCAAAGGCAAAGGACTGGCTGGACAAAATGTTGAAGGTTATTGTCAGATCAAAGAACATTTAATTCAGTGCTTTGAACGGGTGGGTCACAAGTGATAACAAATTCTTACAAATATAGTGCAGCATTCTTTTTTCTCTGAAGATTAATGAGACTAATTATAAGGTACACTCAAAATTCATTAGCTATTTGCAAAGCAAATGTTTACAAGTAGCCGAGAATGAAAGCAAGAAATAGTTTTTGTGCTTTCAGATTTAAGCAAATTATTCATGCATACACATGCACACACTCATATGGACCATATATCCATAAGCAAACATTTACATGATATTTACTATGTACTCAATTTAATACAAACTTTAAAAACAATAATCATCTCCTCTGCAAATGCCCTATAAGAGAAACATTATCATTTGATCCATGAGAAACTTTAGGAGAGGTTGAGTTGTCCATAGTCACGTGACTAATAATGAGGAAAGTGACAATTGTGCAGTGTAATACGAGTCTATTGTTCCAACCATTCCCAGGCTGCCTTTTAATGCAGTATGATAACTGATTAGCTCTGTAGAGAAATACAATAATGTGCTCTGAGAGACAACATCAGGGGAAGCATTTCCAATGTGGATTATGAATAACTGTGGGGGAAATTCTGCTCAGAAATAGCATTTCCTGTGATTCCAGAGAAATGTCCCAATGTGGAACATGGAGAAAAGAAGATTTCAAGCAAACAGCCCATATTATTGCAAAGGCCCAGATAATTATTATTATTTTTTGGGGGGTGGATGCCTTTTAAGGAAACATTCTGAGGACCAATGAGGCAGAGGCTACATCATATGGAGTCTAAAGGAAATGCTAAAAAGTGAGGTTTCATTCTCTGTCAAATGAAAAATAATTTTAATACAGAATTTTAAGAGATCACCCTAGCTGCTGTGTGGAAAACAGATTTAAAGTGAGCAAAGTTGCCAGGAGAGAAGAGACAGGAAGCTATTGTCGTTACCTAGCTGAAAACATTTAGTGGCTTTTTTATTCATGGAGATGGTCAGAAAAGGAAGGACTCAGATGTATTTTTGAGAATGAACAGGACATGGTGGTGGATTCAACATGTGGATGAGTAACAGAACAGAATCTTGAGTAACCGCCAGGTTTCTGACGTGGCCTCCGGTGTCTGGAAGAGTGACCAGTTCAGGGATAACTGAGGGCTAGGGACAAGAAGCAGAGTTTCACTTTGGATGAGATTTCCACGTATGTGAGACAGACGAGTGGAGATGTCAAGAAATAACATTTACAGCACGCGGCTTAAGGAAGACGTGACTTAATATTTTAAAAAATAATAATAAAGTAGAAGGCTTCATCATAAAAATGTGGCTTAAAGCCATGTGAATTAGAGTGAAATAGAGCAGAAGGATCAAAAAAACTAAGAGTGAGTTCCCAGAGAGGCAGGGGGGAAATCAGGATGTTAGATTTTCTTACTTTTTTGGAGTATGATGTGAGGGAAAGAAAGAGAGAAATCTCAAGAGGAAGCCATAGTTCAGAGACAGAGATGACAAGGACTTCACTGCCACTGAATTTACGCACCTCAGATAGACAGTTCCTAAAGGGAAAGAGCAGATAGAAAGTGGCAGTCTGTGCCTGGCAAGTCTTCACAGCTCCTTGGCAGAGGGGAGCAGAAACACACATGGTGGTACCTGTCGGGGGAACCTGGGGTCCAGGAAAGACTCATTTAAAGTGGGGAAGTAACCAGAACACAAAGGGATGATGGTGAAAAGAGGAGAAGGGAAAAGATGGCAGGAAATAGAAAAGAGGTGAACAACAACCTGGGGAGGCGGTGAGAAGGATGGGATCCAGATGGCACACTGAGGAAAGTCCTTGCAGGAAAATGTGTGTCAGCTTTCTTACTGCCAGAGAGAAGAGGGGAAGCAGGCCCAGGAGGTATGGAGGCCTGAAGGTGTCAGAGTTACTGTATGTGGCTTTTGTCTTCTTTAATGAACAAAGAGGCAAGGTGCTCAGGCAAATGTAAGGTCTGGAGAGGAAACAGGAAGTAAAACATCCTGTGCAGATAAATAATTCATGCCTTTCCCATTTTTCTTTTCTTTCTTTTCTCTTCTTCTTCTCCTTCTCCTTCTCCTTCTCCTTCTCCTTCTCCTTCTCCTTCTCCTTCTCCTTCTCCTTCTCCTTCTCCTTCTCCTTCTCCTTCTTCTTCTTCTTCTTTTCTTGAACACATGGTCAGGTACATCAGATGGATGAGAATAAAATTCCAATATATTTTGCTGTTTTGTATAATTGCAGATGTTAAAGACTTAACATCATCAATCAAATGGCCATTCCTATGGTCTCCTTCATTGCTTTTTCTAGGCTTTCACAGTTTGATACAATCTTTTTTCTAGATATTCAGTTTAGAAAACAAAAGTGTGAGAATTCCTTTATATTGGTGGAATTTAAAAGTTTGCCAATAGGTTAATAGGAAACATCTGACCTTAGAAAATTATTAGTACTAGTGATAGGAACTGTTATTAACTGGTTTACTTAAATCATGAATCATCGTAAGATACAAGTTATGCTGAAAATGAGCACTGAATAATGTATTGCCTTAAGTCTTTCATTTGGCCTTGACCTGCTTTTAATACAGAAAAGTGAGGCATCTCATTAAGTCACTTTAATACAAACTGATTAAATGTAAATTCTATTCACTAAATACAAATTCAGTGGTGTATAACAGAAATATTACAATTGCACTCATGAAAAAAAACTCATAAATAATGCAGAGAAAGGAATAACTAACTTTCAAAGTATAACTCCCTATAGCAAATCTTATTCTCCTAGGAAAGGGATGGCAAACTTTCAAAGGTCGGAATTAGATAAGAATATATTACAGACATTTTAGACTCATCTGCTCTTAGAAAAAAATATATACATACAGGTTTAATTTCACCAACTTAAATGGCAGTCTTTTGGTAACATGGATGCAGATATTAAACACCTTACAGCAAAAGGCAAAGATACAGCATCACAGAGTATGGTGAGTGAACGGACGGATTTAATGAGCTTTTGTTTAACTAATGAGAAAGTATTTCTTAAATTTTTTTTTATTAGTAGTTGTACATGCCAGTAGAATGTATTTTGGTAAAATAAACATACACAAAATATAACCTATTCTATTAGATTCCCACTCTTGTGGTCATACATGATGTGAAGTTACCCGGGTCATATATACACAACAAGGCTAGGAAGTTAAGAGCAATTAATTCTACTGTCTTTCCCATTCCCCTCCCTGTTTCCCTTCAGTACCCTTTGTCTAGTCCAATCAGTTTCTATTTTTCCTTCCTCCAACCTCCCTTGTTTTGGGTTAGCATCCACAAATCAGAGAGTACATTAGGCCATTGGATTTTTAGGATTGGCTTATTTCTTTAGCGTGATATTCTCCAGTCCCATCCATTTACCACCAAATGCCATAATTCCATTCTCCTTTGTGGTAGATAATATTCTATTGTGTATATATATCACAAGAAAATATTTCTTTTGAAATTGTAATGGTTTATATCTGGAATATTCACCAAGACTCACGTGGTGAAGGGCTGGTCCCCAATATAGCAGTATTCAGAAGTGGGGTTTTAGGGGAAGTGATTGGCTCATGAAGGCTCTGACCTCATCCGTGGATTAATCCATAGATGAATTCTTAGCTGAATGGTATCCTGAAAGGTGGTGGAAATTGTAGAAAGTAGAACCTAGTAGAAGGGAGTAGGCTCTTGGGGGCATTTTGTCCCCAAACCCTTCCATTTTTCTCTCTCTCCTTCCTGGCTGCCATAAGGTGAGCAGTTTTTGACTACTATGCTCTTTTATCATGCTGTTCTGCCTTGCCTCAGGCCCAAAGCAATGGAGGTAACTGAATATGAACCTCTGAAACAAATATTTACTCCTTTGTTTTTCTCAGGCATTTTGTCATAGGAATGAAAAGCTAACACAAAAATGTCAGAAACCAACATCAAATTA